CCTGACCTAGGGAGGATTTTATTTGGGGTTTATCTTTTAACAATTTGACAGAGACACAACTTTAAAATTTGATTTAATTCGGTTTTATCGGGGGGGAATGTATTTATGTTTTGTTTTAAATATGTTGTGCGCCGCCCTGAGTCCCGTTGGGAGAAGGGCGGCATATAAATTAAATTTATTATTATTATTATTATTATAATCATCATCATCATCATCATCATCATCATCATCATCATCCCCCTCCAGTGAGGCACTACCTTGATGTGGTTGTGGGGCTTGCGTACTCTGAGGAAGATGAGAGCTATGCCAGAGGTTCAACCAAACTGGACAGGTCTCATCAGAGGAGTCAGACAAAGCATGTCTCTCCCATAAAAAATATGGTGAGACGTAAATTTCAGAAAGGTATACTGGCTTGGATGTCGCCCAGGTTAAGGTCCGCGCTAGATGTTGGAGTTCCTGATATCTGGTGAAAAATGGGCTACAGGACTCAGGACTGTTGGCTGAGCAACCAGGGCCAGCAGCTGCAGAACTACTGGAAGAAAAGATGTTTACCTGTCGCAAATACACAGTGATTGAAAACAAAGAAATAGTGATCGATTATTACAGATCAAGTCCAACAAGAAGAGGATAACTGAAACGAATGCACCAGTTCTAGAAAGAACAACAGCCAAAATCAGAAATAACAGAATAGAGACTAGCAGATCAACGTCGATTTATAACACGAAATAAAGTATTCACAGAAACAGAATTGGACGAACTGCAAAGGTTTACCCAGGGCAAAGAAATCAAAGCCTTGCCAGAAGTAACTCAGAATGTAGAGGCAAACCAGGGGGAGTTGGCAGTAGAGGAAACCAGGTACCTCTTCCTCAGGAAGTACAAAGCCCTCTAACTAAAGAAATAAAAGAATTGAAACAAAGAATAACTGAGCATTTAGAACAGCACAAAAGCAACAGAATAAGGCTGCCTGCATTGAAGCTTGTTACAAAGAAACAGCTAGCACAAGCATTAAAAGATGCAAATACTGCAATATCAAGTATAAGCACCAATTCACTGCAAGAAACAAACCAGCTAATGTACAGCACAGCTGCAGTTATAACTGAATAGCTGGGATGCAAAATCAACAAAGAAAAAAAAAACCAAACAGTGCAGCACAAAAATGGAAGGTTAGACTGGAAAATAAGATCAGCAAGTTAAGATCAGATGCAAGCAAGCTAGAACAGATGAAAGAAAAGAAGCTGAAGAACAAGAACACCAAAGAATAC